GTCCCCTTGCTCTGGGTTGGGGGGGTGAGACTCCCCTTGAGCTCTTGTGTGTGCTTTGCCACTGCACCCGCGTGCAGCCTCAGCCACTGCTCGCTTGCTGCTTGTGACCGCACACAAGGGCTTGGGAGCTAGCACCGGTGGGGGGGCCGCACCGATGCTTTGGGGCCTGAGATCCATGGGAAGTTTCCTTTCCTCGGTGAACCACTGTCCTTTCCCTGCTCTCCCCTTGGTGTGAGCTGCTCTCCCGCACTGCTGAGTTGCCTCTCTGCCAGGATAGCAGAGACCCGCCGCTCCAGTCCCACGTGGAAAAGCATCCTCGCCTTTCAAGTCTGGCTTTGACTTGCCCATGACTCCTCTCGAACCGGAGCCGGGGACATTTGGTGCAAAGGGCTGGAGCTGCGGTGGTCTGCCTGGGGTTGTGTGTGGCAGCCAAGGGTATCATGTAGGGTGGAGGGGCTTGGGTGAGCCACGATGAGAGGTGTCTGCCTGACTCTAGCCCCCAGAAGGAGCCTGGTTTTCAGGCCTGGTATCCTCGGGGACCCTATCAGATTGGGTGTCTGGAGCAGCAGTTGCTGTAGAGGCTCTGAGCCCGGCTCCCCAGGGCAGGAGGGAAACAAGCTGAGCCTTGCCGTGGTTTTCTCCTGCGCTGCGCTGCTTTGGTTCTGCACCACCAACACGTGCGCAGTGGAGACCCGGATAATACTCCACAATTAAAAACCCCTTTCTTCTGGAGGAAACCAGCCTGCCTGGCAAGTGCCTGCAGGCTCCTTGCAGGTCCCTGCCTGGCTGAGCAACTCACTGCTGGGGCAGCTCCTTTGTCCCCATGTGGGCCATGCCCACATCCGTGCCCGCATGTCAATCCTCTGTCCACCTCTGAGTTAAGCTGCGGTGGGAAAAGCAGTGCCGGGAGGTGGAGTGGGGCATGCCAGTGGAGGGGTGACTTGTGGGTGCTGGTGACCGTCCTCCCGTGTGCAAAGCCGTTCCACACAGTCCATAGCTTAGGAGCTGGCTTCGGGGACTGCCTCCAGGCTGCTGCCCTTTTTCCTGACCAAAGACTTTTCTATGCATTTTTAAAGCAACAATTCTCTCATTTGTGGGGGGGCAGAAGGTAAATGTTGCAGCATGTGCGCCAGAGCCCAGCTGGGGGGACACCGTGCTGCTTTCCTCAAGAGGGAAGTGCAGTTTCGGCTGCTCTAAAGATGCCGCTGGAGCTTGGGCATTGCCAAGGCTCTGGAAGAAATGATGGATGAGTCTGCCCCCACCCCAAGCCCATGCACTCTTTCCATTCCCATGGCTTGCAAGGCATACAAACGACCCAACCTGGCTCATGCCAAGCTCAGTTGATGAACGGGGGGTGGTCGAGGTGCCTGGGTGCTGGACATGGCGTGCATCATGCTGCGCGGGAGCTTGCTTTTCGTCTCGGCTCACCCCCGTCCTTGCAGTCCCGCTGCGTTCTCCTTTGTAAAACAGTTGCTCCTTGGGAACCGCTCCCCATCTGGGTGCAGGAGTCTTGCCTGGGCCGAGAGCCTGCTTTTTTCTTTTAAAAAAAAGAAAAGAAATCAGAACAGCTGTTTGGAACATGCCAATTAATTTTTTTGCCCAGCCCTCACATCCCAGAAGCGATGAAGGAGTGAATGGGAAAAGATGGCTTTCCTTTGTGTTATGCTTCTTTTTTTAAAAAAAAGTTTGAATATTTGTTTAGCACATTTTACTTGAAATTACCTCGTTTTTTTGTGACCTCATGAGCTTTTATTGTTGGGTTTTTGTTTGGCTTGGTCTTTTTAAATGACTAGGTTGCTAAAGGCCACGTCGCAGGTGGGCGACATGCTGCACGTGGATCGCGTGCTCTGCTAGAGTGCCACGGCAGCCGCGAAAGCGAGTTTACGGTGGGGGAGGGAAGGTGGGTGGTTGTTGGGTTTTTTGTTTTGTTTTGTTTTTGTCGTCAGCCTCCTTCTGTGCATTATCATTACCAAAATTGGTATTTTTTGACGGCCTGCCTGACAGTCTGGGTCGTTAATTCTGAAAGCTACCTCTTATGTTTGTTCTGTTGAGGTTTTTGTTTTTATTTTGCAGTTACAAAAGCACATTTTGCAATATTTGTGTTTTGCTTTGTGATGTCATTTCGATTTTCATCTCATGCTTTACTTGCAATTGTATATTATGTTGTAATTTAGCTGCATTTATATTAAACACACACAAAAAAAGTTAGGGAAGAATTTTGTAGATGGAAGTAAAGGGAAAAAAAAATTGAGGGGTGTTTCTACTGTCCCCACCCAGCCCCCCAGCCCTGTCTCGACTGTCAGGAAATATCTGAAGGCCTTAAACTGGGGGAAATAACTTCTTCTGACAGAGGAGCAGGGCAACGGACAGTCTAGTGAAATTTTAGTGCTTTGGAAAGAAAGAGTTAAACTTGAATATGTGAATAGAAGAGTAGAGTCTTGTTTATAATGTGAAAATCGTGAGTCTGAAATCACTTAGGGCAGAACTCGGATCCACGCATATGCACTAACGTGTCAGGTGTGCGTTAGCCAGCGATGGCCATGAGATGATGGCGATGATGATCGCAGACGTCTCACAACTAGAACTGATGTCACACACACACACACGCGCGCGCGTGCGCGCGCACACACACACACACACACACACAAATGTTTAAAGATGTTCCCACAGAGTGAACCCATTTTTGCCCATCCACCCGCCCCTTCCCCCCCCCCGGTCACAAAGCTGAAAGGGTTGAGCTGGTATTTACAAAGTGTAATATTTTTGTAATATTTGTTAGTCCCTGTGTCGGTTCCCACGCACCAGACTTTGCCCTTCCTTTTGTAATGTGAACAGGAATCGGTGTGCGTGTGCGTGTGTGCGCGCGCGTGCCTGTGTGTGTGCGTGTGCGTATGCTTTTTGTGCGTGCGGTTGTGTATTAAATCATGCAGTATTGTTGTAATCCAGTGTTGCAGTGTTGGATGGTACTAAATCAAAGCGATGTTGCAGCTTCGGAAGCACACGCAGAAACCGTACACGAACGCTGCATGTTGGGTGCAGATTTCCTACATCTGCTACCGTAGGCTCGGGGTGGAGGGGGCAGGACATATACTTCAAGGTGTCGGTGGGTTCACGGCCGATGCCTTGTTGTGCTTTGGAGTTATGCTATGACAGTGCAACAATCATTCATGCTTACTGTTTGCTGCAGAGAAGCAAATTCTTCCCCCTCCCTGCCCAGCTGAGAAGATTTAATTTGCCTTTGCCGCACGGCGAACGTTCGGGAACGCGCGGCCGCAGCACAAACACATCGAGCAGCACACGCGGCTGCTGACTTCACAGGGGGCTCAGGGCTGAAATGTCGAGGGAAGCACTTTGCATTCCCCCACGCACCTCCGTGAGGAAGTCCAATCTTCTGATGGGGCAGGTGGAAGTATTGTGTGCAATTTTATCTGAAGCAGCATCACTTCTTTGCTCTGTTGGCCAGGTCAATAATTTCCGCTTTCGACAGTCGGTTACCATTCAGAGCACAGCTTATCACAGTATACGGTACTGTTTATTGGACTAGAATTGTAACTGCCTTATAGAGGTCTATCACAAACTTCTCCAGATGCAAAGCAGAAAGCTGACTATGTGCGTCCACATCATGCCTCTTTACACAGCATTCGTTTTGAATATATACCTGGTTGTCTGTGGTATTGTTTTGGGAATAAAGTTAAACTGTTGTCTCTTAAGTCAAAGCATTAAGATCCTTTTTATGCATAGACATATATAGCTCTCTATATACACACATATACATATACAACGGATAATATCTTTGCTGCTTTGTGTTGGGAAGGGGAAACAAGACAGATGCTGATTTAGTACAATCCAGGATGTAACTTTGGAGAATGGCTTGTTTAATCTTTGTGCCTGAAACCAGTTTTTTCACAGTTAAAAGAACAGAATTGCTGCAGTTTCTCACAAGTATAATGGTACCTTTTGGCAGTAAGTGGGTGCTGCTGGCAGGGGGATGCCATGGTACAACTGAGCGCACAGCTGCGGTTACAGCGGGGTTTTTTTCTCTGCTCTTTGGGAGACCCTGTCTTTACCTGCCCCATCCTTGCCGCTGGGGCATTTTTGCCCCCGCGACCCATCACTGTGTCAAGCTGAAGTTTTGTGTCCCCCTGCACCCCAAAGAGCCTGGAATCAAGTTGCGGGAACGTCTTAAATCAGAGACGAGAACTTGGTTGAGTGAAAAGTTGTCAGACAAGACCATGACGTTTGTCTTATTTTTTCACTCCACTTTGAGCCCCATAAGTTTCCCATCGCTCCCCTCCCTGGAGAACATCTGCTGCTCTGCGTCTCGCTCCAAGGCTGCTCGAGGATCAGCCCAGGAGATGAGAGAGAGGGTTGCAAAAAAGAAGGAAGGAACAAAGGCAGTCAATTCAGCTCCGCTGGGCAGCTCTGAAATATCATTTCAGTGCAAGTGGCTGATTAGAAGTAGCAGTACCATGACATCCTTCTGCTCAGAGTGCCAACCCTTTGGTGTGCATCATAGTATTTGTTTCACATAGTGTTATGTATGCATGATCTTTTAAGGCTAAGAAGCCATGGTAACAGCTCCATGACATCTATCCATATATATATAAGTATATATATGTATATTATAGCACTGAGGACCAACTGCCCTGCTGGGCGAAGCAAACTAAGGCTTTTTTTCATTGCTTGTCTTTTATGTCGTGACAGCACAAGTGCCAGTCTGATTGCTCTGTATTAAAAATAGTGTTTTTAATTAATTGATGTTAT